AGACTAATAACTGTGAATTAATTTATTTGGAAAAAAATACTGACTGAAAACTTGGATTCATATCTCAGATTATGCATAGCTTGCAAGTATACATATACTAATTTTGTGCATAAATTAAATGAAATTATTCTACTCAAAATAATGAGGATTTTTCAATCGTAGTCAACTATTTGTTTATGTTTTTACTTGTAAGATGAGCAGATATTTTTGAATATTGAAGCTGCTGTTTAGACTAAGAAGAATTTCTTGGAAAACTGTCGTTCAGTTTTCTATAGTGCAAATCGTGAATTGACAATCGGTATTTGGAAAAACATTTATATTTTTTTTGGATTTGCAATAGTTTTTTGTATCCGCGTTTGGCACGTATTTACAGCAATTGTTTGCATGTGCTAACAGAAAAGTTATCATAGGGCCTTTTCGGCGGCTCTTCCATCATAGAGCCTATTTTACATTCTTTTTAGGTCGGATTTATTGGTTATTTGTGACTGGGACGTTCCATGCAGGCATAGGAAAAATGCCCGCAGTGCTGCTGAAAATCCGATGATAGGGACCTACATTATCTTGGTAAAAATATGCTGATAAGGCGAAAAATCCAGAAAGTTTAGAAAATAAAACTTAACTGTCGGGAAATTATTCAATGGACATTTAATTTAATGAGTTTTATTACTTGACCTCTTTGGCAATGGATAGTCCGATAACAGCATAAAATTAATTAAATTGGATAAACTTCCAAAGGAAATCGACAAGTTATCTTTAATGTTTGGATGCTTCGTATGATCCTACTATGAACAGGTGTAAAATTTTGTTTCAACAGAGCAGTTTGTTTTCTTCTAATTTTTATCAAAAAAAAACCTATTTTTTCAGTTACTACCAAAAATCGTCAGTATGGATCAAAAACTTCGATTTATTAAAGATATATTTCCCTAAATTAGGGCATTCTTTGCTTTGGAAATGCTTACGAAAAGTATTCGAACAAAAGCAGATGCAAACACTAATATGGACCATGAATGATATTAGAACTTCCAAATGTAAATATTTGAAAGCCACCGAAAGTTCCTTTATATGTATTTTTATAAATCCATTTTTCATGGCAATCCTGCCTTCAATAGCAAACAGCAAAGTAGAAAAGCATAACAATGCGGGCCGGGTGAATAAATAGATCATTTTCTTTCATTCAGTTTATCTGCTTAGATCTGGCCCATTCAAACACTAAATTTAGAAACAAGGCTATTAATCAGAATTAAAGAAAGCATGAGTAAACAGAAAAAGGAGATGTCTTAAAGGGGATGTTGATAGATTCTTGGCAGCGATTAGCACGAAATCTATACATGTCCTTAAATCAGCTAATTATTAGCTTGCCAGCAAGACTAACTTGGTGGTTTATTATTCTGTTATAGAACAGATTTTTTTAAATTTTATTTCAACTTTTTTTTGATAAAACGTCTTGATCTTCTTTTTCTTGTCCTCGATAAGGAACAAGCATGAGAACATACTTATCTCCGTCAATAGGTCTGAAAAGAAGATAAATCGTTCAAATGCATCTCGAAAACGACGCAAGCAAGACATTACACCTGCCTTTGATGTAATTTTCAAATAAAAGCCTGTAACTTGAGTGTGTACTGACGTCCTTTGAAGTAATTTCTTTGCGCTGTAGATTAACCGAAAAATTGCTTATGCATATGATAAAATACTGAAAGCATTGATGAATAAAATAATTTACTAGCTGTTAGAAAAAATTGGCAATGTTACATCACCCACTATATGGGATTCACTTTTGACGAAATCTACTACTTTATTTTATTCGATATTCTAAGCTTTCTAATCGAATATATTAAATAATGTGCAGAAAAGGAGCACCAACTACCATATTCGTATAGAATGTGATTATCTTTTAAACTCTTTTATTTTTATGTACTGATACATTTTAAACAAATTTATGCGCCTTGATTGAATTATTGAAATGAAAATTCAAGTTACAAATTCATACAATTCTCGAAGAATAATTAAATTTTTAAGAGCTTGTCTTCATAATAATTTCAGCGGTTTAAATTTACATACGCTTTACAATAACGAAGTTAAGCATGCATTCGTCAAAGCTTTTAGCAGGATTACGCTTATATGGACCAGTAAATTTGTTAACAAAAACCAGCCGGAGTCTCTTAGTTTAGTGTTCAAGGCATTTTGGCTCTTAAATTTTCCGTTAAATCTCGTAGAAATTTGTATGGCAAGCGGCATCAACTTTACGACTTTGGAAAATAAGAATTTTCGGAAAACCTGAAGCGAGTTCAAGAGAAAATGGGGATCTAACGAGGTCGTTACTTATCGTAAGAGTGTAGTGAATTAATTTAAGGATGTAATAGACACTGTGAAGGGTAGATTATAATGCTATTAAGAATATAAATGGAGCAAATTATGGAATACTAGTGTGCTAGAGGTATTTGGAATGTAAATTTATCTAGATAATGGTTGGAATAAGGACACATTCCATTATGTATAGTAGTTTTAGATGTTGCTTTTCTGTTTGTTTCCGATGTAGCAAACAGTTCATTTTATATTTACACACTGATAAATATTGGGATAATCTTCACATTCAATATCCACTGTCTCGCTTTATTGTTATTTTATGTTAAGCCAAGTCTAATAGATAATATTGTTCCGCAAGGGTTTTGGTGATTAAACCTGAGCTGAATCAAACAAGAAAATATAATCTAATAAACCTCCTTTAAGCGTCTAATTTCAGGAACTTCATTTCATTAAGATTTTCAGGTATTTTGTCTTTACTTTTTGACATTTAGTTCACGTACCGATTTTCCATACATTTTTTATTTTTCTCTTGATTGTATGCAATAGAATTTAATATCGGCATTTTCAGCTAAGTTTTATTAGGCGAAACCGGAAGCGGAAGGGTATGTTAATGTATTTCAGTTATTTGCTGAATTTTCCGCCATCGGGTTGACTTAAACGGAAAAAGCGAAGGGAAGTAAACTGAAAGTGCCAATAAACCCTTTACGGTAACTTATGTAAATTAAAGTTACTTCGATTAGAAATTCCTTTCTTACCAGAAATTTATATAAACTGTGCAAGAGTAAATGATCAATTACTGTTTTAAAACACACTAATTGAGTGCATAGTTTTTTTCTTAACGGGTTTTTTATACCAAATATTCAAATGAAAAGATGTAAAATGATTGTTCATCTTCATAAACTTTATTACCAATAATTATTTAAACTAATAGTTTCTTATTTGTAAATTTATCATTATTATTAATGTTGAATTTGTATTTTTGGTTTTTATCTTGTTTTAAGGAGTATTTCAAAAATGCAACCAGGAATTTCTGAAGCCGAAATACGACGAAAGGAAGAGTTTTGAGATTGAAAGTGTCAAAAGTTTCTGCCGAGTTTAGCTTTGCATGAATATTTCTTTTAAAGCCTGGTGTATTGTTACAATGTTCGTCTGGAAAAGTTTTCCAGGGTGGAAAATTGAGATCTGCTTTCATTTTTAAAGACAAACTGATAATACCTGTTGGAGTTAGTTTAGGTTAGTTAGAGTTTAATATTAACTTTGCTTTAATTATTAATTATCTGCATAACTAGATAGAAATTGCAAACTATGGAAATAGTATTAAATTTTTACGGTGTGAGAACACATTTAATATTTGACTATAAAACAAATCTCGAAAAGTTTTTGGAGCAACCTTATAGCAAATTGAACTCCAATACGCAAAAGCATTTGCTTCAACAACATTAAGATTACAATGTATAATTTATAATGTTCAAACTCTTAAAACGACGAGCGAAACAAAGAGGAACACCCAACAGTGAAGAAGCTTTTTTCATAAATATGTAATATATATTGCTTTAATAAATATACATGTTCGACAATTTAGTGGGTTTTTTTCGACACAGAAAATTTGATATGCCACTCTTTAATCCAAATAACTAAAATAAATCATGTGAGAATAGGAATATGAAATTTACATCGACTTTAGTAGTGGCACAATAAGCAAATGGAAGTCGATTTTCAAATGTATTCCCTTTGTCAAATTGCTGTTCCACTTTGAATTGCGTGCTTTTATTGCTTCGAGCAAATAAGGAAGTACTTTTATAGCACTTACTACATAGAAATAAACAGCAAACAAGGTAGTTACGTAGTTTCTGATGTGTTCGCATTCGAATTCGGGATGTTCATTTGCTCAATAAGTCTGGAAAATAAACAACGAGTTTCGAGCGAATGTTGTTCAATTAAACGAAAAATATTGGATTGAACACGATTAATATTGTCAAATAAAAAATTATTTGGGGAAGATAAATTTCGCCTTTTTTCAGCCATTATTATACTCATGATTTTCAAAACGCGAACAAACTTTTCGTGTTTTAAATGTCTCGAACGTAATTTTTAAGTAAATTCGCACTCACGTAAAATCAACACTTTTCTCAATCAGTTTTGTTTGCTATTTTATTAGTGCGAAGCTTTTGAAAACATAATAGTACTCACTTTAAGAAATAACAATAACGATGGTTTTCATTTATAATCTAACTATTCCGAATGGTGGAAATTCAATGCTCCATTGCCTCGAGCAAAGGAAAACTATTCGCTAAAACTACGGTTTCCTATTTATTGCACTTATTGGCTTTCTTTCGGCGGTAAATTGAGTTCTTATTGCCTTTGTAACAATCACATTCATTGACAATTTTTATGAAGTTTTTTATTTTATCTATATCGTTGAATGGCGATTATTTTAAATAAACCAACTACTTTTAGTGTGTTATTTCATGGTTTGATTTCGGTTTATATTGAGTTTGTGTTTTTCTATTATTCACATTTAACCACGAGAAGTATTTTATTAGTGTTGGAAAATTGGCTGCCCACAAAAGAAGTGCAGTTTTCATATAAAAACCATATTTAACAGTTTCAGTTCGCTTTTCTAAGCAAAAGTGCATTTGCATCTCACTCCAATGCAAATAAAATAAGGTTTTTAACGTTGTTTATTTTTCTTTTAGGTGGAGCATTTCACAGTATTATGGGTCCTTTTGATAGTAATTGTTATTGGCAATAGCGGCGTTTTATGTTCACATTTTATTGGAAGGCCTAGGAAAAGTCGGATGAAATTTTTCATAGCCCATTTAGCATTTGCAGGTAAGACATTTTAGCCCTAGATATCATGCAGATTTCCCATCAACAGGCTGAAATTTAGTTTAGAGAATTGTAATTACTTTAATTTGATTTCTTCTTTTTACGTATTTGCTATGTCGCTTTTTGCACTATTGAATAAGAAGATTGAATTGAATCAAATTGAGGTATTTAATAATAAACAGAGATTAGATACAGATTTAGTTTATTATAGCAAAGCTTTAACTGTCAAATTAAATTTTTAAACTGCTAAACGAGAAACGACACAAAAATGATATCTACGTGTAGACGAATATTCTTCATCTTCAGAACTCAACAATAAAGCGAACTGAAAAAACCAGTCAATTTTATCAAAGACCCGAATACAAATAAACATAAAATCTTTAACACTTCACGCGCCCACTCGTCAGTAATTAAAATCAAACACAGCGCCTTTCTACTAATTATTAAACGGTTTTTTTAAACGCAATTTATCTACCCAAGAAAAAACATTATAAAATGGAAATCAATGAAAATAAGAATTGACTGTCGAAGCGAGAGCCTGAACTTTTAATGGCTATAAATTGTAATAGCCCGTAAATTTTGCGTCGAAATTTAGTCCAATTGTAATATATTAAAACTGTCCCTTAGTAATTTGGTACTCGTTTATTTGCAGCTTTTCGTGCCATAAATTACTCTCTAGCTTACTTTCATTAAATACGATTATATGGTATTAGAAGGGGAATTATTTCAGTTAACTTAATTAGTAACAAAATTACCAATTTGTATGTTTACAGCAAAATGATTTTCTTTTCCAGATCTCACCGTAGGTCTAATTAGTGTTCTCACAGATATTGTATGGAGAATGACAGTGACCTGGTATGCCGGAGACACTTGGTGTCGATTTATAAAATTTGCCCAGGTTGGTAAAATATTTTCTTTAGCAAGGGCTAAACACTTATTGAGGAAAACTATAAAAAAACTGTTAAAAGAAACCATACATAAAGTCTTTAAGCAGTAACAAATTCACATGCATTCGAATACTATTAGTTTTTGTATTAAACTGATTTTTTCATTGAGTGTTTCCGCAGTTTTTTTTATGAATGAATCAATGTAGAGGATTATAAAGCTGTATGAGAAAAATATTAACTTGGTGCTTACCTATTTTCCTCTGAAATTTTTCAAAGTCGGTAACGGATAACAGGGTACAACAACACAGAGAAAAGTAAATTATAAACATTTTCTTTTCGCCTTTTAGGCTTTAGTAACATATGCTTCAACGTACGTGCTTGTATCACTAAGTATCGACCGATATGATGCTATACGACATCCGATGAAATTTTCAGGCAGTTGTAAGTATATTTAGTGAATGGAAGAAAGAAATTGTAATAAAATAAATATTTTGTTTGTTAGATTATTTTTGGTATTTTTTTAATCAGTATGCACTTTTTCAACAAATCTATATTATTTTGGGAATTTTGCATTTGCTTAACACTTCTAGCTTTGCGTAGTAATTTCAGATACAGGATTCCTCAAATATTAAGTGAACAAGCAGAGATTGAAAGAGAGAATTATGTATTCTGATGCGAGGCGGGAAACTCAAATGGCTTAAGGCTTCGATCTCATTAGTATAGAACCCAAACTACTACTACTACCGTTAATTTCATTAACGCCTCTCTTTTCAGGCTTTACGATCAAAGTTGTTCATAGAAAATTGACTACAGAATTTCACGCGTTTTAATTTTATGAAGTTTAAATCCGTATTTTAGGAATTTAATAAAAACCAACTAGTTAGTTGGTTTAACAAAGAATTTAATTACAAAATAATAAACTTACACAATAGCAGAATTGTTTGCTACTCACTCTACGTAAACAAATGCAATTTATTGTAAAATTTTCTCATTTTATATCCAGGCCGCTCCAAAAGTTTATGCGAATAATATATTTAAGAAAAAAATTATTTATAAAAAAATACATAAAACGTAAACGAGCGATTTAGTAATGTGGTAATATTTGCTTAAATTTAACAAAGCGATTTGTGAATGTTTTAATTGAGAATTACCCTTTCTTTGCTAAAAGTTACTGATTTCAATATATGTATACACTAAATAATTTTTTATTTGCAACCGCAGAGCAAAACTGCTAAACAAAATTACAAAAAGTGCTAAGATTTTAAATCACTTTTTAAATCAACATTTTTCTGTTTTAGCTTAATTAGATTAACAGGAATTAAAAATTTACGCTTAAACAATAATAATTTGTGCTGTGGCACATATAGATTTGTCTTTTAATAAACGTTAAATTATGCAGTTCACACTTAGGCAACTTATTAATTAAGCCCCTAGGCATAATAATAATCCAAAGATTCCGTTCTCAAGTCTGTGCTTAACCATACGAAAGGTAAAACGATTCGAAAAATAGTAACCGTTTTAGATTACAGTATGAAACTTAAACGTGAAAAAAAAAATAAAATGCTGTCCTTCATTCCTAACAAATTTACGTTTTTTGTTCGAAAATTGCTCAATCTGCCAGGAAGCATGCCTATCGATCTCGGTTTGAGCCCTCTTACCTCTATTCGACTATAAAAAATATAATATAATGCAATCTTATATAAAAGAAATTGTTTTAGGGAGAAGAGCTAAGATACTAATAGTTCTTGCATGGGCAGTAAGTGCATTATTCTCAGTTCCAATGCTATTTTTATATGAAGAAAAAATCATACAGGGTAAGTAAAATAATGTATTAGTACATGAGCCGCTAATATTTGGAGTTGTAAAATTGAGAGCAAAGCTGACGGTTTTGTTTTCAGTCACCAATGAAATGCTCATCGTAATGATTTAAATATGTTTTCGTAATTCACTTAAACTTAACTTCGTGTAATTTAGTCATTAATATTATTCTGAAATGGGTCAATTGCCTTCAGAGGTAATTGCTTTTTGATGAGATTCGAAGATATCCACTAAACAACACAGAAACAATTAGTTAATAAACAGCCGCAAAAATGTTGAGAAAAAAATGTTAATATTTATTTTCACAAGTTTCCGTTGTAAGTTGAGCAGAAGTGAAATTGCAATTGATCATTCCTTTTAGAATATGTATTTAATTATTACAACAAAAAAATGATGCAGACTAAACATTGGTACGTATACGCTCGATATGCAAAAGTAATTTTCACATGCCACTTGCATAATGAAGACCAATTACGTACGTCCAGTTCAATTCACCGATTTAATTCCGAAAAAGGCCCTTTTGCAGCTGTAACCGTTCACTGGCCTTTTCTGAAAGTTCAATTAATATTATCGAGTAATTAAGCTTTAGCAAACACCCCACTTTCAAAGTTCGAATCAGAAGTGGCTGTAATTGTCTGAAAACTTTACCAAATGATGAAACAACATAGCTGCTCATTTAGGAAGCGCCCTTTTCGAATATCGATACCTTAATCATTTCCATTACAAGCTCATTAAATAGACGATTGCATTAGGATAGGAAATTGAACTCGGAGACTGAGCTTCACGTGTATCAAACAAAAAAGCAATTTATGATGAGGTTTTTAAATTGTTTTAAAGTTAAATATTTTATTTATTTTGTAAGAAATTGTTTTTTTTGTTTAAGTTTCTGCTGCGCAACTAGTTGTTTCTCAAATGAAAWTTTTTTAAATTTTTTGSGCAGATGCGGTTACGCTAGTATTATTATATTATTAGATTCTTCGAGATGTGTTTTTMTCATATGCTCATTCATATTTCAGCTTTTAATCGTATATTTCATTCAGGCACTGTTTTAACTCTTTWTTTCATTACKGTTTATATTTTACTCAATAGTTTATTAGTAAAGTATTTATTATCGGGCCTTATATGAGTGATGGTCYATAGTATTATTTAAATATGTTGCTTGCTTTGGTGCGAAGAACATTACCTACCTTTAATCATCTTTAAAATTGTCTGTCTGAATGCACTTTAAATTATTTGAATCTTATTACAAAACATCCTAGTAGCATATATTAACATATAAATACGGGCTTTATTATAATAATATAAAATATATACATTTTCAGACCAACCACAATGCTGGATCGAGTTCCGAGAACAATGGCAATGGCAGCTTTACATGGTGCTCATTTCCTTAGCTTTGTTCGTGATTCCGACCATAATTATAACCGCTTGTTATGCGGTTATGATTAAGACAATTTGGACTAAAAGCGCTGTACAGTTTCCTCGAGGACACAGAGGCAGCACTAACGACCGAATAGGTAAATTATTAAATTACATATTTTAGTTGTTATACTTTTTCTTGGAGTGCACCCATTCTAATCACATTTATATCTGGTCTTTTATTACGCTTAATTATTTTTTAACATACCGAACATTCCACAGATGAACCTTTATACCTTTCTCAAGAGTGTTCTAAAGCATTTATAAAAGGAGCCAAATAAAACACATAAATAGTCATTTCCGAGTGGCATTTTGATATCTGCTACCCTCATTGACTAAAGCAACAATTTTAGCAGAAACGAACTCATGTAAAACGCATTATTCTCGCTATGCGGTGGTTAAATGTACTGTACAGCATTAATGCTTATTTAACTACGATGGCACAGATTGTTTTGCTTCTAATAAAATTGAAACTGTCTTCCAAGAAATTGATTTAGCGCTCAAAAACAGGAAACGTATCTAAGAATAATCAATAAGTAAATGATATCAAGAATTTAAAATAATATCTTTGTGTGTAATTAGCAGAAACTTGAAAAATTACTCTTGTATTTTCTCGCTTCTTTATCGTATTTACTGTAAATTCATTTGTATTAAAGAAAATATGAGAGCATTTTGTAGTATTTAATTTTCCGTTTATGAGCGAATTTTTTCTTGCTTTACATTAATTTTTTAAACCATTACTAAAGTAATGGTCAATTGCTTAACAGTTTTCAACTGGTATACCTATACTGTTTCGATAAGTATGAGGTAATACAATTATTTGAATAATTTAAATTAATTATTCTAGAAAAACACACATATATTTAAAAAGAAACACAAAGAAGTACTTAGAAGTGTGAAAAATCAAATGCATTTCAGACCTTAGTATTTCATCTTTTCAGCGATAGATCGATTTTTCATTTCTTTTATATGAACAATTTTAAATTATAACTTTCTTATGAAAAACTCTTAAAGTGAGAATCTTATTTTTCATGCAAAGAGCTAAACGGTTTGCAAAAAATATAGAAAATTACTTAAACAATCAGTTTTTACATATTAGAATTAATCACATTCTCCAATTTGCATAAACGCAGTTAAAAAATGTATTTAAAGAACTCTAGGTGTCATGACTTAATTCATATACATTATCTACAGCAAAAATAGGCTAAGTAGCTTGAAAACAATTTTCTAATTGCCAATAAATATTTGGAACGGAAATGTTGAATAATGGTACTTCATTTCTGATTATGAAAGTGATTAAAAACCGAATCATGCCGGAAAGATTATTAAATTAATTATTATTTGTTTATGGTTGGTTTATGGTTTTTCTAGCAGTAGCAGTTGCAACAAAAATTAGTTTTTATACATTTGATTTTACGGTGTCAATTAGCATACTAGATTTTACTATTAATATTGATATATTAAGAAACGTTGTTCATAAATTTACTACTTTTATCTCTGAGTAACTTTAACTAAAATTAATTGGCAAAAGCTTGTTACTAGTAACCATAATATCCAAGGTAATTATGAGAGTTATATTTATGTTGTCTTGTGTTACTGTTCTTTTCTCGATAGGTTCAGACGGCGATCGAAGAGCTTCATCCAGAGGACTCATTCCAAGGGCCAAAGTAAAGACAATTAAAATCACACTTGTTATCGTCTCAGGTAAAAGGCATCAATGTATTTTTTAGGTGATTCACATATTTTTATATTAATTTATTTCCAGTATTCATTGTGTGCTGGAGTCCATACATTATTTTTGACTTACTCCAAGTATTTGGCTACATACCTCCAACGCAAAGAAATACAGCGATTGCTTCATTCATTCAAAGTTTGGCACCATTAAATTCTGCAGCAAATCCGATAATTTATTGCATATTTTCGACGCATATGTGCAAATTTCTCGGGTAAGTAGCTAAAATAACATTTTATTGCTCTTGGTTTAATCAGGTAAAAGTCGTTTTGGTGATGATTTTATGGCTATCTACCATGAATGTGCAAAGTTGTAAAACTATAGTAGCATTCAATCTATAAATTGCATTTCATCTGCTAGTTTACGAAACTTTTCTATGGATTATTTCCTTAAAATATACCTGTTTCAAAAGTCAATTCGAATCTTCTAATCAGCGTCTCACAAAGAGATCGTAGATTTGGCATTCATTATAAAACTCTTCTAGCAATATGAATATGTAATATTTCTATTTATTGGTCTGAAATGAGAATATGCTTTGTAAAGTTACTGTTGAATAACGTACTATTTTCCAACGTAAATTTCTAGAAATGTGGCCCCGTTTAAATGGTGCAAACTTCAAAAGAAACGCAAATCCCGAAACTCGACAACGAAGAGCAGCAGTATCTCAGAAGTGCTTACAAATAACACGGCGAAACGAAGATCAGATATGGTTACCTCAATTAATAAGGCACATACAGCAATTGTGGTCGCTTTAGTACATGAGAAAACTTAAAACGGAAAATCTACTGTAGCCTTTAGATATTAATCATCGATGTTCCTTATACTAATTTCAAATTATATGTTCCAAAGAAAGTTTGAGCTCTACGTGTAAATAGATCTTTTATGGTTTTCTTTAAAACGTCCTGTATGAACTAAATCAACTAACTATAAACAACATTCGCAAAACGTTTAGTGAGGTGGAATATTTGACAATTTGATACTTTTTTATAAAATTTCCATCAAAATCCACATGCAAACAAGAACTCATTGTATTTGTATTGTAACCGTATTGTATGATAAGTTATTCAATCTGTGATTGTGGGGGAAACTGTGATATGACTATTTTATTAGCTTTAGAAACCCAATCTCAGATAACGTGAATCTTAACTGTATGTAACAAGTAAATGTCCAATCTGCTACATATTTGAAATAAACGAATCTGTATATGCTTAAATTGTCTGGTTTTCTTAATTCCTGCCATGAACATAGGTAGGACTCTAATTGGCTTCTTTTAGTTGACCTGACAAAAATTTATTTTTTTTAAGTGAACTCGTTTTGTATTTCGGAAGTTTAGACTGTAATGATCTCAATTCATTGCATGAAGTGACCACTTGTTCACCGTTTGTTCAATCTTGTATTTTAAAAATTACACTCATTGAAAGAGTGTATTGTTACGATATTATTTAGCAATTTGCAAGAGTTCCCTACATGACACAAATAGGGTTGATGAAATACCTCCATGCATAAGTCGTTTCGTTTGACAAAAATCATTCAAATTAAATATCAGTAAAATATCAAATGTTTCAAATTAATCTAAACAGTTTATGATCAAAGCTAAACTCAAGGCGTTAGCTGAAACCTAATTATGCCCTCATTTTAATTCGACTCGTTTATTAAGCTTATTTTTCAAGTTTTCTTTAGTTTATGTGCGTTATTGCAATCAGTAAGTATAAGAATCTTCTATAGAATGTCCAAATATAATCGCAACTTATTAAGTTGGATAAGCCGCTTTTGTGCATTCACCGAGTAAAGCTGCTTTATTTAAGTAAATTCATCTACTGACTATTGTTGTTTCTTATTGTATCTTCCACATTTTCTTTAGTTCCTGTTTTGTATTTTTGTATAAGCAGTTAATTAACTGCTTCTTTATATTCTACATGTTATTGCGGAAACTAATAAACAAAAGTGTCGCTTATAGTGTTGCAATCCTCACCATCTGCTTAATTTATTTAACATGGAATTAACGTTTTTAATCAAACTTGATATACTCCATATTACTGTTCATTTGGGTAAAATGTCATTAAGTAGGTACATTGTTTATGCTGAGTGAATCAGTATCACTTCGCATACAAAAGAACATGGATATTATTAAATTTTGTATACTATTACACTGTTTCTCCAGTGTTTTTTCAGATACTCTGGAAGGTAAGAAATAACATTATATATTTAAAAAAATTGTAATTGCAAAACTCCCACAATTATAGTTATAAGCAAGCTAATAAATATTTTTTTCGTCATATAAAGGTTTGGCAATTAGATGTATTATTTACCTGAAGTTATAGTGCTGATAAGTTACAGTGTAGTTGCAAAGTAAGGAACATATCAATTCTTAATTCTCGATTTCGTGAAACTTGATTTGTAAATGCACTTATTTTGACAAAAAAAGTAATTCCCACTATTTGTTTGTTTAGTCTCACGACTCTCTGGACTTTAATGTTTTAAGAGCAACCTTTTTTGAAACCACCATTTTCAAGATAGTGTATTTCTGCGTTTCTAGTGTTTTTTCTGTTATTAATATTTTCTTTAAAAATCGATATTTTGCTCGATTTTCATGTGTATCATATTATTTGGTCGGTGATGTCATTGACTCAATTTCATTTGCGTCACATTTCACGTTCATATTGTATCCACGTGATTCTTTTACCCATATTTCACCACCAAATTTGTTGGCATTGCTGCACAATTCTTACCGCTTTTTTCATGAACATATTTGTAACCTGCTTTACTTAAGCAAATATATCCACTTCAGCTAAAATTAAATATAACAATTGGAAAACGTAACAAGTAGCATAAAATTAACGCAGCCACTGTAAAAGGTAAGCAGTAAATGAATTAGAATTAATTGATTGGTATTATGAAATGCATATCCACTAAGAACCATCAATGTCTAAACTATAAGAAGCGCAGTTACGTCTGAAGGTGAGGTTTTGTTTTATTTGAATTAAGTATCTAGAGCGAATCAGTTTTTTAAACAATAAACGTTGAAATTATACAGCTTTTTATAGCCAAGTTTAAAGATTAAATGCGGATCACTTTTATGTTAAAGGATCAAGACTAGATAAGAAACTTACAAAATTTTTCTTGGTGGCTAGTAGGTGCAGGTCAACGGCAGCTACCTGACAGCAAACGTCAGAACATGTCCAACTTACAAAATCGCATTGTTCTTTGTTCTTGATAAAAAAAAAACAGTCTAGCGATGAAAAAAATACCACAGAACAATGCCCGCAAAGTTTATCTTTTAGAGAATCACGAATTTTCCAAACGAAAGTTGACAAATACAGGATTTTTTGAACTGTTAACAGAGCGAAACTCACACCCTCCTTCTCAGCAACCATAAATCATACACTACGTCAACGAAATGTCATTCGTTTGAGCCGATATTTAAGAGGAATTTAACTTTTGTTGTATAAGCCAAGTTTTTATTAAATTTACCTAAATTGGTTTTTTCTTGCTTGCGACGTTGGCAGATTATCAAATTTTGACACGTATTTAATGAATTCCATGGCCACCTTACAAAATGTAACAACTTTTTGAAATTTTTAAATAAAATCATTGCGTTAAAAAGTTTTAGATTGAAGTCCAAATTGTAAACACCTTGTACAATGTATGGATATTTTGGTACAATAGAATTTTTAACGGATCTGTGGTGATTGAAGACGTATTTTTTTATATCTTTAACTGCTTTTTTTGCGTCTACAATGAATTTTTAGATACCATATTTTTAAGCAAAATTTTCCTAAAATGGCGATAATCTGCCAACGTCGCAAGTAAGAAAAAAACAATTTACGGTGCATATGAAGCGTTTCAAGCTGCACTAACTGAGCTAATAAAAAATCGTTAGTTCTATTTAAAAAACCGTATATGTAAGGTATATAGGTAATTAATACACAATTTACTATATTTCAGCTTCAATATTTATGTATATAAAAATCACCTTAAGTAACTATACTCATAATCAGATCTATTTAGCCTTAAAACACGAAAATCTAATTATTATTGTAAAATTCATATACAGAGTGTTCGAAAAATTAGTGTAAAATAAGGCGACTGTATATCTTATAACGTATAAAAATACGGGAATGATCTCATATAAATGTAAATCTACAATCGCTCAGTTTTAGATTTAAATGGGCTTATTCGCGCGGGTTTATTTTCCCAACATGTTTAAACAATGCAATATTATTTGCTATACAGAGGCTTTCAAAAGCGGGATGACAAAATTTTATTTTTAACACCACTTGCAAAGGATCTATATTTGTAGTCATAAATGTGGGGCAAAAAATACATTTAGTCGACACTTCTCAGGGCAACCGTTTTTGAGATATCTGTTACTGAAATCTGAAATAGTGTCACATGTGATTTCTTAGGCAAAAGTATGAAGATTATCTAAAAAATGTACTTTGGAGTTTATAAAAATGCTTTGCATATCAGAAACTTCAATGAAAAAACTTTTCGCGTTTTCACAAAAATCCTTTAAACAGCAGCAGCTGAACTGGGCACTGAAGAGCAAAACAATCATCATCTGTATAATCTAAAAGTGTAACAAATAAAATATGGAAAAAATACCCGATGTAAGATTTAGAAAAATAAATATTTTGTCTTTGTCTGAGCTAAAGATCTGTTGAATTGTTCTTGATGGTTTAAACATGGTCTTAGTGTTCGGTCTTTAATTTAATAATTTTCGTTGAGACCGTCGAACACCCAGATAACTTCAGCAGACAAGAAGAGCTTTAAACCAGAATGAGACTCAGAATATAATTTGGTCTGCTGACAACCAAATCTGGCGTGTTCAACTATGAATATCAAACAGCCGAAAATAAAGGAAATACATACAACAAAAAAATCAATTTTACATAGAAATACATACATACTCGAGATTGACATTTCTATAAAACAAAAGAAAAAATTATTGTGAACAATTACAAAAAAAAACATGTGAATTTTCCCTTAGCAATTACTTTTGAATAGGACGATTTAGGTGAAATCAAATCAAAGTATCACTGATACTACAAAACGAAAACCTGTTTGTCATCATTTCAATCACTGTTTATACAGTATGTATTTTCCGTAGAAAAATGCAATGTTTGAAGAAAAACCATGTATAACGTGTACAAAATATTTAAAAACACTAAAATAGAAAATTCACAAAGGCTTATTCAACACCTTGCAATAAGCAATCATATATTGTTTCATGGTTTCGATTTAATATAGAGTCTAATTGCAGTCATTCTCGCAAGCAAGTCGTTAACAAAACAGTAGCAAAACAAAAAAGTATTTGCGGAATCAATAGACAAGGTGAATTGTTAAGAGTAAAAGAGGCTTTGAGTTGCGTGGACAAACTACTTACAAAGTCCAGCGAATTCTGATTTAAAAGCGAGTCTTTAAATGTATCCTACCACAGCCAGTTCAATGAATTTTAGTGTGTGTTATCAGAAAAGTACTATCATTATTGCTTTATAAACAACAATTAAAAGTATTACGGGGCTAAATTGTTCCATTCTTTAATTCGTTCAAAATCCAAGTAGAACAATAACTGAAAGCAAATAAAACAATTAAATGAGATAGTGTTTTATGAAGTAATTTAGTCCGGTGCAACAGATCTCGATCGCGTTATGTGCAATACTTCTGGTATCCTCGTGCTTCTAGTGCTACTGCTAGCTACGGGCTATTATTGTCAAATTGAAGGTCAGTGGGCATATCAATTTGCATACACAAGTTAATAGTTTAAACATTAAACGTATGTGAAAATATGTAACAAGCAAGCAAACAGCATGATCCCTTATAGGCAGGAGTCTTTTATGATGGGACTATAAGTGCTACTGTTGCTCCCTAGTATATTAAAATGCCTAGCACATAGCAATAAATACTTTAGTAAAACATTCACACACAACTTATATCTAACCTAAACATTTATTGCTCTTAAACTGCTAACTACAGAAAAATAGAAGGCATTTTTTTTCATTTTAAGTCGCGTTTGACATACCCTGTAACTCCACAGCGAAAGGATTAATGACATTACTATTCAAAATTTTCCCTCTATTTGAATCTGATCCATTTCAATCCAAGCTGACAATGTTTTTTCAAAGTTACTTTAGCTTTACGACCGGCATAAAACCTTCTACCTACATAAAAACCTGATGATTTTCTAAGTAACAAAATCCTTTAATATAATTGATTAAATTGCTTTCCAATGATTGATTCTGACAAAAAATTAAGTTCTATAAAAACATACTTTAATTGAGGTCCATTATATTTGCACTATCCACTTATATATTATTCCATTTGCCATCATCTGAGGCCCCAAATCAGTTCCAAAAATATTGTTAGGTACATAAATAATTTCACTAGGAAACACGATTATGTGCGCAATGAATACCAAGATTATTGTATCATCATCATAAAAAGTATTCAAATTTTTCCATTGTGATGTACCTACTTATATTTAAAGGAAATTAAATTTTTTGGTTTATGGTCCTTTTGAACGCACAGCTTCAGATATTGTTTTGCGTAAATCTGGAGTAGGAAAGTAGGTACACTTATCTTGGAATTATTTTTGATAGTTAAACTAAAATAAAAATAAATATTCTTTCTAAAATAGCCATCCAAACCTTTAAAGAATTAATCGCAATATTTGCGCTTCCTTATGATAATATCAATATTTAAAGCCATTTTCGATATTTAATGATACGCGTTTCAAAGATAATCTACGAATTTTCCTGCTCCAAATAGAAAGAAGCAAACAGAACATTGATATACAGAGTGTTTTAAATTGGCGGCACTGGAATGAGCTAAAAGCAAAATCAGGCATTTTTCTAAAGTAAAAATCTGGTTAATTGCAACTTTACAAAAACAATTTTACAAATTTAATTAAAATAATTATAGTAATATAAATAAATTTTGTATTTACAGGGTCGTTTGCATAAAACAGTTTCGGCTAAACGGGTGGAAATAGGCAAGAAATTAAAAAACCGAATTACTAAAATCGATTTTTTTGTCCGAAAATTTTTGCAGGTATACAGGAAGTATCAGAAATAAGTACCGTAAATTTACGGTAAATAGACCTTTCCAAATATAAAAGAAATCCAAATATACGCATGGGTCGGCAAAATCTTCTGTTTCGAATACAGGGAGTCAAACTTTACTTTTAAAAATACATTTTAAATTTCTGCAAAACTTTTATAAATTTTAATGACACTTCGTAGGTAGTGAAGGCTGTAAGATGCGCCTATTTTCAATTATTTTATGTGTTTTTAGTTTTTCCGGTGGCGAGCATACCGCTAAGTTATTGAATATTTTTGAAGGAAAAGGTCTTCGGCCACTGCTTTCTCTAAGAATAAAAAATACATCGGGATTGACTGTTCAATTCTGAATAAAAAGCACTTTTTTATTTGTGCGTTTGGCCAAGCGTTTTCCGGAAAAATAACTTTATTGGCGCTGCTAAATAAGGCCCAGAAGGGGATCAATGGGAGTCATTATCAGCAACTACTATAAATACATATTAAGTATGTTATAACTGTAGATAATTCTTAAAATAATTCTGTTTAATTCTTTATTTTACCATTGCTTCATATGTTTCTCTCATTGGTTCATAAAGTGATTCATAATTTTTTAAATCGGAAAACGGTTCGTCGTCCGAAAAAAAGAGTGATTTTTCTTGATAATTGAACAGTCAATTAAGATTTTTCATTCTTCATAAAATTTACCCCTTAATTTCCGGTACTTATTTCTGCAAAACACTGTGTAAAATTGCTACCGACAATAGCCGATTATTTTTTTATTTAAAGCATTTTATAAAATGCCTGTTAAAAAAATTCAAAAAGCGAATTGAGAGTTCTGTGTTTTCACAGCTTTGTACCGATTATTTATAAAAAAAAACGAAAATCACAAAACAATATTAAAACCGGAAAGTCGATGGCAATCTCTTTAAACATCTTGAAAATTAGCCGACGATAGTTTGGTAAACAGATTATTCTAAATACGTTTAAATTGTTAAGTGCCAGCTAAAATAGATTTTATTACTTACAATTTAAAAACAACCGTGATATTTTGATTTTGAAACGGAGAAATTAATTTTATTTATCAAACGGTGGTATGGAATCTGCCCCTTTTCTCAAACTTCAAGCCTTATCCCGAAAAATCCCTAGGAAATAAAGTTGATTTAAGTCTTTATCTTTGTTTGCTTTATGTGTTCTAGATTATCTTAGTTGATAATATTTTCCTCAGTCGATCTTATCGATAAAAAATTCTAGGCCCTCTTAATAAAAGCGCGATGGCTATTAATTTATAATAAAGAACGGAAGGATGTTCACTTTTCAAGAACCATACAATGTGAGACAAAATTCCCAAATTAAAAAAATTGTATGTATTTATTTTAAACCGCTTAAAGATGTATACATGCTTCGACCATATAAAATTTACCTGCTACAAAAATAATTAAACAAAATCGAAGCAGTATGATGCCAAAAATAGAAGGTTTAACAGAATGATTTCCATATTCTGTACCTACTGTTCGAATCGAGATGCAAATACATTGAAATCCAAGTTCATCAAAATTTTCATACCACCAATATGACAATATATGCATATAAAAAATGAAAAACTGATTATATTAATTGTTTTTTGTTTGATTGTTTATTTGCATATATCTAGACCAGTCCTACTGGAGGCAATTGGGAAAGTATGAGTTGGCCAAAGCGTTGCAAAAGGAAAACATTGATGATGTAGCAAAGAACGTCATCTTATTTGTGGGAGATGGAATGGGACCTACAACTGTAACAAGTGCTAGAATTTATCGAAAAGGCGAAACTGGCCATCTAGCATGGGAACATTTTGACAATATAGGAGTCTTAAAGGTGCCCGAAATTTAGAGCGTAGACAAAACGAAACAATCACAAAAACCGCAATATTTATTTCTAGATTTACTCAGCAAATAAATTAGTACCCGACTCATGCAGCACTGCTACAGCCCTATTTTCGGGAATAAAAGCTAATCATAAAACTTCAGGAGTGGACCACACTGTAAACGTGAACGATTGTGATGCATCTCTAAAGAAATCTGCACAGTTGGAAAGTTTTATTGATTGGGCGCAAGAGGCAGGAAAATCTACAGGTAATCGAAAAAAAGTAGCTTTTAGATGGAATAGTAAAAAATATCTGCCAGAGAACTAAAAGAAGATCAACGTTAGGCTTCGGTTATAATAAAACACTCTGTATCTGCTCTATTTCAGGCTTCGTCACCACTACTAGAGTAACTCATGCAACTCCAAGCGCTCTCTATGCACATACCCCAAATAGACGGTGGGAATGTGAAGCGAATGTTCCCTTAGAATCATCAAATTGCAAAGATATTGGCTATCAACTTGTGAATGAAAGTCCTGGGAAAAACATAGAGGTACTGATGGTGAATATTAAATAATCACAAACTGCTTAAAGAAATCGGGTCTCTTGCTAGGTAATAATGGGAGGCGGAAGACAGTGCCTAGTAGCAAATGTTACCGGCACCCCAGCAGACCCTCTGGATACGTGGTCCTGTATTAGCAAACAAAAAGGAAGAGATTTAATTACCGATTGGAAAACCGATAAAAGCTTAAGACAGGTTACGTATCAAGTGCTGGAAAATAATGAGAATTTGGAAAATATGGACGAATCAATGGAGTACACATTAGGTAATCGTCTGATACACGCATGTTGAGTGCGGATATAATTTTATTGATTTATTTTGTATTGTTCACTACTAGGTGTTTTGTATTGTCATTCCCTTTATCCACAAAATGTAATTAAAGCTCACTTTAATTCGATTATCAGACAACTAACAAACATAATCTCTAAACCACTCAGGAATATTTGCAAATGGACATTTAAAGCTGGACTACGAAAGAGATAGCGGTCCTGAAGGAATGCCTTCACTTAGTGATATGACGGCTGCCGCTATTAAACTGCTACGCAAGAACCCGAATGGTTACGCACTAATGGTAAAAACTAGAACTCGGAATTTTTAAAAATCTGATATTCGAATATTCGTTTAGTGGTTTATTCGAATAGTAAAATTATTCGAATACTCGAATATCTAA